TCAGGGTGACCTGGAGTGTCCAGCTCAGTGCTGGCAAACTGTGTGTGTTGGACTCCTCAAGTCCCTAATCTGGTTTTGTGTGACATCCAGGCATCTCCTGACATCTTTGCCATGAAGTCACAGCCCAGGAAAGCAGAGAGAGCTGGCAGTCAGGACTTGCTTGTCTCAGCCCAACATCTGTGCCTTAACCTTTCCTTGCAGAGACTTCCTGCAGGCTGCCCGACAACAGATAACTGTTTTGGAGAAACAAAGCCCAGATTCACATCTCACCCCAAGCAAATCTGAAGGGGAAGGAAGAAAACATGGGGAAGAGGGGTGAGGGGCAAAATCAAATCCCAGAATCATGCCTAAGAGAAATGGTAAAAGATTGTGGAACAATGAGGGGAATTCATCGTTAGATTGAACATGGAGCTGTCTTCTTTTGGCCAAGTGTGGTCCAACTCCTCGGCCATCACTCTAGGAGCCCAGAAGCTAAAAAGGCAAGAATGTCCCCAGACGGATCAGAAAGGACAGCATCTTCTAAAGCACCATTATGTGCTGAATGCAAATGAACCCCAGTGCCATGAAAGCTCCACTGTTTCCTTGCCCTGTGCTGGACGTGTGCTATTTGATGCTGTAACCTTGCTCTCCAGCTGATGATGACTTAAGCCCAGACTTTACTGCAGAGACTGGTCTGGAAGATACACAGCATGGAAACACGTCTGTCCAAACTCTGAAGTGCCATCACCTCTCTAGAAACCTTCGTGCTGACCACTTCCACAGAAGGTCCAAACATAATATAAAGGTGATTCTTGCAAAACAGAAAGGCTACTGTGAGCTGCTATAGGTATTTTCTGGTCATTTATGGTACTATGGGAGCACTGTATGTTACAGGAGTAATGCACCTCGTGCGCTTTCTTATCCAGATGTTGCACCACGCATCACCGTATACATCCAACACAATAGTTTCAGAGCACAGGACAGGTGTGGTGACTGACAGAAGCAACATCCTTTTTCTTCCTATTTCTCAGGCTTCATTTGTAGATCACATAAGCACCCTTCATCGCTTATACAGGGGAAATGCATCCCCAGGGTAAGGGAGAGGCACGCTGAACTGCTGCCAGCGATGAGGACAGGCTTTGCAGGGTGGGGAGGGATCGAGATCCTCTCCCTGAAGGGGCCCTCGAGCTCCCATTGCTCTTAGTGTGTGGGAATGGGCTCTTTGGAGCTTCACCAACAGACACTGGAGCACAGCAGCCCCCTGAAATCCTGCGTGTGACTGGGAACGTCCCTCACATGCAGTGCCACTGCCAACAGGAAGGGCTCGGGCAAGGGCTGGGCTAACCCAGGGGATGGTCAATCCACGGGGAGTTGCCCAGGGCAAGGGCAGACGGGCTCCTTACCTTGGCCCACTCGTCCCCAGACATGGCTCGCCACAGGCAGGCAGGCAAAGAAGAAACAAGTGTGAATCAGCATGGTGACCAGGACCTACAAGAGGGCAAACATCAGGAAGGAGAAGTCAAAGTCACATCTCACCTTGTCAAAACCCTTTTTTTTTTTTTTTACAGTCCTCAGTTAAGGGACCACAAGCTGAGATCCACAGCTCTGCACATCACTGACGGCACTGAAAGAGCAGACGGAGAAGCACGTACCAAATTTTCCTGCAATTCCTGTATACTATTTTACATTCCTGGTCTCTCCAACTCTGCTGTTCAATGCCTTGGACCAGCACTAAATTGTGTTTATGAACCTGATGGAGTGTAGGCTTTGACCTAGTACCTCTGTCAGCCTGCTTGGTCCTGGAGTTGGGCACTGCCCTCTTGGAAGGACAATCTCAACAGTGGTGCAATAAGTGCTGGGTTCTGCTCTGATCATGGAAATAAGCAACATTGGTCAAATCACTGGACAGACGTTCCAGAACAACTTCTGGTTTGAATCATGCAGAAGTAATTATTTCCAATTATCATGACCAAAAATCAATAGAGGTACACAAACACACAGCATCCTTCTCATCAAATTCGCACACTGATCCTAAGGGGAAAAGCATTTAGAGGAGCACTCTTTGGCAGACAAGCTCCTCACACCATAGATGTAACGACCTTCAGCCGCTGCGACAAAGCAATTAACGCAGCAGGAGAGAAACCACAGACCTGAGTTCATGTCTCACCGCTTTAGAAACAAGGGGTTTATTTCTTACTACGCGGCGGAGTTCCCAACAAGTTACGTTCAGCACTTGTTGGGATAGTCTTGTTTTAACTTGTTCACCCGAACAAGACTGAAAACAGACGTAGTTACAGACTTAACCATGGCAGAGGATCCGTTTGACTTGGAAGTATCTCTACAGCTTTGACACAGGTGACCAGCCGAGGACAGCCTACAGACCTCAAGCACCTTCCGTTATCTGCCAGCCTGGATTTCAGTTTAATTCAGTTTGGGTTAAAAATGTTAAATCAGCATAAAACCACTCTACTGGAAACAGTGCCCCCCGCCCCCCCGGCCCAGGCTCAACACACCAGGGTTAAAACACACGCTGTTGATTTTTTGCAACCCATCACTTCTGGCTGTCATTTTTTTGCGCTACGCGTTTCAGCCTTATTGCTCTTGGCAGAACCAGACCATACACCAGTTTCCTCCGCTGCCGTCTGCAGTGACATTTCGCTTCTATTCATGTTGATGGACAGGTATTTAGAGGCTCCTGGCAAATGCCTATTTCCCTTCAAATACGTCAGCTTTTTAGCGATTTCAAGGAAAAATAAATATGCACGTGAGTGACCCAGTCATATCTCCTGGAGTTTGAATGAGTTCTAAACTGCTATGAATGGAAAAACATGCAAGTTAAAACAGGGAGATGTTAACCACCCTACTCAGTCTGTGATTTTTTTTTTTTTTTTTTTTGATTCAAGATCAGGTTATATGGAACAACTGCAGCGTAACTGAAGCCCTTAGCCATGGGAAACACTTGCTTTTTTTTTCCCAGCTAATAAAATGAAGTCATTGCTTATGAAAAACAGCAAACATCTTACAAGTGGGTTTCAGGAATCTGAGCATCACCTCAAGAAAAGCCCTGGCAGCAGAGGTACATGTGCCAAACAACAGCAAGAAGCCTGAATTTTTTAAAAAATCCCCTTAATCAAAAGTTCATCTGTGACGTTTTGCATTTTTTGTCATTTTGCAACGCCACCAAACTGCTCTTGATTTCCCTGCAACTTCCCGGCGGCTTCGCTAGCAAACGGGGTGCCGAACACTGGCAAAAGCGCCGGATTGCGTATGATTTTTCCATGTTAACCAGGGTTACACAGGATCTGAAGTCCAGTGAAATAAACACACGGGCTCCTCCGCCGATCCGGGCTTACCGCAGGGTCCGATTCACCCGGAGGTGTCACTAAGGGCAAGTTCAATATTAACCCAGGTTGGACCCAGTAAGGCTCCAGGGTGTGGATCGTTACTGGTACTAAAGCAGGGAGCAGGGACTTCATCTCTTCTTCCTAGCCCAGAGGCAAACCCATCGCTATTTTGCCTCTTCTCCAACTTTCACTTTCCTACCTGTAAAGCAGGAATAACAAACGCACCTGTTGGAAATGGTGGAAGATACACAGCTGGAGCAGCCCCTCTCTGCGGGTCACCTGCTGGTCCCCAAGCCCCCACTGGGTCTCCATGGCCCCTTCCCACCCATTTCTGCCCTCGCTGGTGCCACCATCCAGCCAGGCTGGTCTGTGGATCCCGGAATGGAGGGACCACGGTGACATCAGCCTTCTGGCAGGCACGCAGCCCCCGGCACGCTGATCCCTCTCTCCTGTTACTCGCCCAGGGGAGGAATTTGGAGACAGCAACACATGGAGAATGTGGTGAGTATTTCCACGGCCTGGAAAATGGCGGGGGGGGGCACAACACACCACTTCCCACTTGCCCCAGCAGTGTGCTCAGAGAGGATTTGGAGGTTAAGGTAGTTAGAAATCTCCTTATTTATACAGGAAATTTTAAAAGCAGTCGCTTTAATTAAAGAAAAAACAATTCTATGAAAAAAAAAAAATCCCTGCTGCATGTTTAAATCAGCACAACCAGAAGTGAGGATGCGGAGGCACTGTGAATTATTTCCACCCTCCGCAGCCACAGTTTGGGGACGTTTCCTCATCCCAGAGGGCATCACCATCTGCACAGAAGCGCTGGCAGAAGCAATGTCACCCGATGGCCCACTCGCTGCTGGACATGCGAGCAGAGCCAGGGACAGCCCTGCAGAAGAGACAAGCGACCTGCCCGAGGTAGGGACTACATCTGTCCCACCGTCCCCGAGTGCTTTGCTAGTTAAAGAACCTAAAACAGATCAAAAAAAACCCAACACCACCACATTCAACAAATCCTTACTGTTCTTTCCTGGAAATCTCCCGTGTTTCAGTTCCTGTATTGAACAAAAGGTCCGAGTTATCCCAGCACTGGTCTCAAAAAAGTAAGGCATGAGTTTCACTTCTCAGCTGAGCCTTTGCAGCTCCCCATAGCCCGAGGGGGCTGAGTAACATCGGCTTGATGCAGACCCACACCGCACCTCCAGCTGGGAAAAACCCACCCAGACAAGTGCTATTGCTAACAAACCCTTCCAAGTACTGTCCTCTCCAGCAGCAGGCCCGCAAGTTTTGTGCTATTAACCACAAAATAGAAGGAAAAAAACAAAAAAAAAACCCAAAACAACCCCAAACCAACAAACAAAGCGCATTTCTTACAGCCATCAGTCCAAAAGAATTGCTAAAGCAGTCCTGGCAGTTTTCAAACCTGAATGGGAGTCCTGAAGCTACTTCACCAGAAGAGGCTGAGACCCACCACCCCGCGCAGCATCGGCACCGCTGCCCCGACCTGCGCGGCACCAGCTCCAAGTTTCCCGGAGCACAAAACCCTGCAGATATTCCCTGCTCCGCCGATACCCACGCGTGCCCCCGAAATCCACAGCCCCTCTGGGGCATCCCGGCAAACCGAGCCCCAAAGGGGCAACGAGCCACCGACCTCCGGAGCGGCACGGCTTTCCCTGGAGTCAGCCGGGAGGCGTGACGGATCCAGCTACATGCTGAAATTGTGGGAGAAGCGGCTCCAGCGCCTCGTCTGCTCCTCAGCGGGATTAGAGATTTCAATCCCCAGACGTTAGGAGGGGTGAGGAAGGGGAGGGAGAGGAGGGGGAGAGGGGCCGCGGTCCCTCCACCTCCCTCGCGCGCGGAGAGCGAGAGACGGCTTCTACAGAAAACTGCAAAGGGCTTTCCGTGGCTTTGCTAACTCGATGCTAAATATACATCCCAGAAGCTGCACACTGGGTTCCTAGAGATCAGCAACAAGTGGTGGCTCCCGCCCACCGTCACGCTCCCAGGGATGAGGTCAGTCCGGCCCCATCCACATCCCATCAAGTATTTTTTAAAGCCCAGCGTTCGCGCTGCAGGCAAATTACGCTGCATTTCTTTAAGGAAACGAAGCACATCTGCAAGTTTTGCAAGGCCAGAGGCTGAATCATGAACTAAAACTCAACAGTGCTGCAGACTTCCCAGCTGTGGGATACAGCCCTGGAACTCCATCGGTATGTGGTCCCCAGCCCCGGGAGCGCCCAGGAGAGCCGCCCAGCTCCGCGCCAAAGCTTTTTCGGAAAGATTTTTGTCCTTGTTGCCAGGAGTGGAACAACTGACAGTGTCATTTCTTGTTACAAATTGAGGCCAGATTTTCAGCCGCATCTCGTGTCAGCATCAGTCTCCCGTTGCAACAGAGCGAGCTGCAAGAAACATGTAGTTGGTAGGAAACACAGGCAACTTTGAAAGGGTTAACTCAAATAGGAAAAAGAAATTTAAAAAATCATAGTTTCTTAATATTTGTGCACACTAAAGAAACATTTGGTCGTTCATCACCATTTTGCTTTATAATCTAGTTCAAGTGTTTAAAAGCATCACTGTATAGAGGGCAAAGGATGCCACCAAAAGGAATCACTTAAAAAGGAGCAGTTTTCACTAAAAGAGGAAGAGTTGTCACTGCCCTACATGTAAACACCACAAATTACCTTTTCTGTAATTCCTATTGGATCTCAGTAATTGCTCAGATTTGCTACAGTTTAATTTAAAACCAGGAGGAGATGAGAAAGGAAAGAGCACAGATCTCCTGCACCTCACTTTCAGGGAATTCGGATCCAGAGCTCAAATTCGTGCTCCATTTATGTCAGAAAAATCTGGAGCTGCTTCCCGTGCTTACGTCCAGGCTGTTGCGTTCTGGCCTACCTTTCCCACAGTGCCCACGCGATGCTGCGGTCTCCTGGCTTTGTCTGACTGTAGTTCAAGGCCAACACCATGGATTAAACCTCAGGGCCACCACAGACACCCAAAGCCCTCCCTGAACGGCAACGCAAACCAGAATTTAAAAAGCAAAAAGGCAGACGGATGCTGCTTTGCTTATGCACTGAATGGCGTGAAACAACAGCTGTGAGCACACTGATAAATGGCTTAAAAGATGGTCTGGTT